ACGTCACACAAGGTCATGCAGGTACTTTTAAAAATCCCATTTTAGCACAAAGCCTGAGACTCACTGATGTCCAGAGGCTGTTCTGCCATGTTCTCAATGGCACCAAAATGTTACAGGTAGGTTTTATAAGGACCAGTCCTATGAAACTACTCATTAGTAAGACAAACACCTCTAAAAGAAAGATGATGTCAAATGACTGTGGGGTCACACAATCAATTATGGTCTTTTGTTTGGTAATTCTTGCTCAGGGATTCATGATGAATGCACCAGGAACACTGTTTTGCTTGAAACTGCCAATACCTATTCATTGGTGGTATCAAAAGCAACACACATTCTAGCAGTACTTTTGTATGAACCCCTTGCTACACTTAAAAGTGTTGCTGTAAAAGCATTCTGCTGTTCTAATTTGAAAAACATGTATTTTATTACTGCTTTAAGACTTCATATATGATTTTACAGGGCACCATGTGAGCTTGCCCAGCATTCTGCAAACCAGCAATCCTTAACCCAGAGCCACAGTCAGGAGCTTTACAAATGAATTTTCATTTCTTCATAAATTATCCTCTTCCAAGATTAGGAAAACACAAGTAAATTGCTGAATCCACTTTGCTGATTTGCCACATTTTTCTGAACAACAAACATTTCTCTCTAGAGACTGAAATTTCATCAGCCATGTTGATTACCTTTATCCATGAATTAGAAACCTGAACTTACTTTGGTAGCTTAAAAAGTACATCCATACTCATGCTTGTATCCTTAATACATGTTTAGGTTACAATATTCCCAGTCAATATTGTGGGGCTCTATTTTTGGCTTACACATGTAGGCAATTCAAACCAGCTCATAATTAATCTTAATAAACAAAACATATGAAGAGTGGACAGACAGTGTTTGCGTGTGTGCAACTTGGGTATGTAGCTAAGTAGCTTACCCCACAGTCACATCATGGGTCAGCAGCACTACCAAGCACAGAGCTCAGATTGTTCATATTCAAGTTCACACTAGATCCCACAGATACTTCTAGAATAACTGGTTGTTTATTTTAATGAAATGAGTAAAATATTTCCTCCAAAAAAATTAATAATGTTTCACATTCTTAGTTTCAGTGCTTCATTTCCCAGCATCACACATGCATGGGTTACACATAGACAGGGCCAGAAAAGCTTAATTCTTTTTGTATTGTCAAGACAGTTTGATTGTTTCTTCTCCAAGGAACTTGGAAGTCTGTAAGAAGCAGAAGTGCTGGAAAATAAGAATATAACCTCATGTACAGAGGGAAAAAAAAAGCAAACAATGTTGGCCCTTCAGAACTACTCTTTCTTGAGTTTGCACTGGATGAATGCTGCAATACAATTTTGTCACACTACCGTAGGATTTTCTGACTTGGTGTAGATATAATGCACCATTGTGCCCACTGGAAAAAAAAAACAAAACACCACAGGACTACCCTCCAGAGTGTCCAGGAAAATTCCAGAAAACTCATGGATCTTCCTGGACTTCACAATACCTCCCTATACTCCTAGGTACTTCAGCTGGAAGGTGTTCAGGTAGTGATGGCTGAAGATAAGTAGATCCAGATAAACTGATATGTTTGGGTTGAACATGACTGGATCTCTGGTAGCCACTTTTTCATTGATTTCTTCTGTTGGTGCTTTGGTTTCAGTGTTGGTTTAGTTTGGTTTTTTTTTTGTTTGTTTTGTTTTGGTTTTTGTTTTTTTTTTTTTTTTTTTTTTTTTTTTTTTTTTTTTTTGTTGTTGTTTGTTTTTTTTTTAAGTTCAGGCTTTTACTACCATAATAATAGGGTAGTAGGTGTGGATTTAGGTATTTGTTTGTTTTTTTTTTAATTGGACACAGGACTTGTGACTTTCCTTTCTCAGTCACCAGCTACTCACCACTGTTGGACAGCTTCCCAATTCAGAAGTCAGTGTATTGATATTACCCCACAGAAAGGAGTATCTCATCCCAAGACTCAGCAAAAGACAGTAATTAAAACATGTAGTATGAGAGTGTATCACTGTAACCATTTCCACAGTGTCTGTGGCCAATTGCTACAAAAACTGTATAACTTGCTTCATGATTACCTGCTGTGGAGTGGGGCAATCACAAAGGGATCAGGATTCAGTGACAGAACACTTAGCTTCACAAGAAATAAAAATTATGTCAATTAGCAAGGAAGGCAGAACTAGTAGTTTTAACTGTAATGAAGCACACGAACCCTGGTACCAGACCAAGGCCCCCAGAACTCACCTTTTACAAGTATGTAAAGAGACGAATTCCGCCGGGTAATTTACAGTGTTTGTACTGCAGCAGAGAGCAAATCAGATGCCACAGCAGAAGAACTGAAGGAGTTGTGGGTACCACAGCCTGGGCACCGTGGCTTCAGGAAGGCTGTAGTCCCATCTGCTCCATATGGCTTAAAAGCCCGCAGGGGTTAATACAGACGCAGAGAATCACAGAATCTAGTTCCTCCATGGAGACAAAACTACGGAAGTGACTGTCTGCTTGTGGATATTTTAAAGAAAAAAGAAAACATATGGCCCTCTGGAGCTATGCTTGCTTTTTCTACAGCTGGTATGACACAGAGAACAGATATCCTAGGCCTACAACTAAATGTAAAAGCTTTATTCCAAAGAGCAATTAGGGAACAATTTAGGGAACATGCTTCAATTTTAAAAGTTCTCAGATCAGCAAAGTAGAAACAAAAGAACTGAGAATGCTCATGTACACTAATAAAACTTTTAAAAGCACAAAATATCTTAGCTGCATAAACAGCAGTGTCTTACCTGTGTGAGGAATATTTCTGTGAACTGTCAAAGACAACTTAGAATGAATAATTAAAACCAGCCTTTTTTCTCTCAGATGTTATTTGGTGATTCTACACATAGACTAGTAGTGAGCCAAAATTAAATCAGAAGAATAGGCTTAATTCACAAGGCTAGAAAGAAAGATGGGTAGTTTAATTTATAAAATCAGAAATTTCATTTAAAAGTGTGACCCTGAGGATTAAAACTACATTTGAGGTAAATAAAGTCAAGGGCAGACGTGATGTATGTCTTTAACTTCAAGTTTTGAAACATGCTGGTAAATGTTTCAGAGTACAAACTCATTCCCCAGTCTGGGCCCAAATGCAGAGCCAGTGTGTGCAAACAGCTCACCAACTTCTGAACCCCAGCAGGAGTGCCTGTGGCTTGTAGGGATCCGGAGTCGTGCAATCCCCAGGGATGTCAAGGCCAGGAGAGATCTTAAGAAGTCATCTAGTCCAACCTCTGCCAGAGGATGAACTGTGTCTAAAGCACTGCCAATGTTTACAGTCTTATTTAACTTTTATATTAAAACTTAAGTGAATGATTTTATAATGTTCTCAGAAAATGTATTTCAGAGCTTTGCAAAGTTACCACCAGGATTATTTTCTCCTAATGCCTAATCTAAAGGTAGGCAGTTACCGCTTGTTCTATGAACAGGGAGTTTGGAGAACAAGGTTTGGGGTTGTTTTTTTACTGTCTTCTCTGCAATAGCTTCTTACAAATGTCAATACTCCTTTAGTCCTTGCTCCTGCAGACTAAACACACCAAATTCTTTCAAGTTCTACACACAAAATAATATTGTCTAGCACTCTCATCTTTCTTGTCTCTCTCCACTGGACTCTTTCCAATTTGCCCCCAACCTCCCTGAAGTGTGGTGCCTGAAACCAGATAGTTTCCCAGCTCAGACCTCACTAGACCTTATTAGGCCTAATTAGAATAAAAGGTTATTTTATGTGAATTTAATGGGGTATGCTTATTTATTCAGTATAGTATGAAATATGCTTCTCCACAAAAACGTGACATTATTGACCCATAATTAACTTGCCAGGTCCTTTTCCACAGAATTGCCACAAATAGTTAGATTTCCTCCATCCTCTTTCTGTTATTTACTTGAATTCAACCCCTTATATTTGCCCTTAATAAAGCAAATCCTACTTATGTCACCTAATTTTAGCAATTAATTTAAATAACTTCTTGTTGTAATCTATTCCTACGATACACTTTCAGGCTTTATAATCAATAATTACTTGTAAATGAGGCATCTATTGCATAACCCAATTTGTTTTATAAAGTATAGAAATTAGCATAAAATTGACTTAAGTAAAGACCTTCTTATTACATCTTCCTAGGTGAGAGTGAATAGTTAACAACAACCCTAAGTACAAATAACTTTTGTAGATCCATTTAAACTACGCTTTCCACACTGGTTTTGAAAATGTCAGAAACAGACTTTACCAAAAGCCCCTTTGGTAAAGTCTTTTGTGTCACTTTTCCAGCTTCTATTATTATTATATAAGTCAATTATTCTGTGTGAATCAAAACATTCTGTCACAGGGGAAACTGTTTGTTAGGATTTATCTCCCCTTCTCTCTGAAATTGTGTATGAAAATAAAAGCATTCTTGAATTTAAAAAAATGTATAGAAACTATGTTTTTCACAGAATAAACATTAACACCAATTCAAAGGCGTATTTCAATTCGTGAAGATCTCCCTGGTTTTGCCATAAACTGGTCCATGTTGTCTTACACATCAAGTAGATCGTGGGAATATGTAGTTGTCCTTATCCAATTTTATTTCCTTTAACAGAAATGCATACTTATTCCAGACACATTCCCTGCATCTAAATTCACATCCTGAATTAAAAGCCAATGAAAACTGGCCTTTAGTCTTTTACAGACTTCTGTGAATTCTGGATCAGTCCAGTGGTGAATGGAAATTCTTTCCCCAGTTGTTACATTTTATTGAAAGCACTGCTGTCCTACACACTCAACAGAAGTAGTAGGTCTTTAAGTAGTCTATTTTGATGTACAGGTTATGCTATATAAATGATATAAAAGGTTAATGATGGACATACGTTGGACCAGGTTTTCCAAAGACACGCTGATGCCGCCCCGCAAGGCAACTCTTCAAAGAGGAAGAGTCAGAATTCACAAGCTTGATGGAAGTCCTGATATTAATCCATTAAACATCACATGTATTAATCTAAACCACTTAATTTCATTGGTCTGATCTTTAATATTGTACTTGATGTTACAAATAAATTATAACTTTAATATTTAATTTATAAAATGTTCCCATTTCAATGAAAAATGGACAGTAGGTTTAAAGTAAAAAGAGCTTTGTGGAGGCAACAGCTTTCTTTAACTTCAACAAGATTATAATTTTATAAGAGTAGAGAAATATGTAAACATAAATATTCATGATTTTCTTCTGTACACATCTGTGTAAATTAGTTGATATAAATATAATTTACTATGGAAACACTGTTTATGCTACATACAGTTCTATGCTGGCATCACGTACTAGTTGATTAATCTTTCAAAGAGTGAGATTTATGCATTTTGCGTTCTAACCCCCAGTATGTCCATTGCCAGCAGTGGACTTCATGCTCAGAGAATCAGACTCACAGTGTCAGCAATCTAAAATTACACTTCAGAACAAGATTATAAATAACCAAAAATCAATGTATTATTTTCATATCATAATCGCCAAATGCTTAAAGGCTGTGATCCAGGCCAACCAAAATCAATGACTGTCTTCCCATTGACTTAGCTGAAATTCACCCGCAGTTTCCAGATCCTGTAGATTCTCATTTTAGTTTTCCAATTTTGTTACAGTATGAAGAGTTAAAAAGTATGTGGTATCAGAGCTTCAGAGTGAGAAGTAAAGCCTCTAAGTCTTTCTGGGCTTCTTTATCCTGAAAGAAACAGACAATCATGCATCAGCTTAGATAGGATAAATCCCTTCATTCGTCTAATATTTGCCTATCCACATTTCTTTACTCACAACAGACATAACACAAAACTGCAACAGCCACAAAATATAAAGTCTGCGTAGTAAGGTAATTTATCAGTGAATACAAAAATAAAGTGAAAACAAGAGCCAGGTGGCAGCCCTCCCTTTACAGCTCTGTTAAAGCACTTAAAATGTTAGCCCACAAATAGCCTTCTCAGCAGACCACTGAGCTTTTCAGCCTGGGATATAACTTTTATTGGTGTACTCTGCATAAAGTATTGCTTTCCCTTATACTTGACGTAATCTCGCAACCCAACTGCATGCAGTTTTTTCTGAAGATATTTCTGTGATGTTTGTAAACAATTTATCATGAAACAAGAAGAAAACACTGGTAAATGTAATTAATGACTTAGATTGTGGTTTCAGTGCATACAGCCGTACCTACCTGTAATAGCCACCATGGACTGAACTACACCCTCAGTATCTTCCAGATCAGTGCTGGTGGGCTCTGCCTATGCTGCTGGGCTCAGGGCAGAGTGGAGCCAATGGGGCAGTAACAGAGAAGTGATCTACTGTGCTCAGAGCCAATACTACATTGCACCTCCGGAGGCAGAAGGCCAAAGTGTTAAGTGCGCAGTTTGCATGGGGCTTGAAATCAATTCCAGGCCACAGACTCTCTCACAGGTAACCGGTGACATATATTTTGGCTATTCCATGTATGTTTGGAAAGGGGTACACGCACATAAATATGTAACCAGAGCACAAAACCACCATTATTCTACTTATTTTTAAATGGCCCTGGATACAATCCACTTGCTTTAGTTGCCACTACAAAACTTCTAGCTTGCAAACTGCACTTTGGTTTAAAACCACATTTCTCAAAAGTCAGCACCTCATAGCTGAAGGCTGGTAAGAGTCCAAACACCCAATACATGCACCCATGGGTACTTAACAGTGCAAGTGAAAAGTACTTGCACACCACAGATTTTATGCAAGTATTTCCAATGACAGGGAGCAGTAGTGATAATGCCACAGGCAATTCTGAAAGAAAATATTGTAGACGGTCAATGAAGTAATCACTGAATTAAAGGATCACTTCATTATCAAATCAACCAAAGAGCTGGAACAAAATACAGGACATTTTAAAATATATTTTATGGGTGAAGAAATTCCTGCTTCTCTTTATTTTGGTTAGTTGTCTAAAATGTCATGGAGGAACAGAGAAGAATATTGAGATGATAGAAACCATATGCCAGACATGTCAAACTACATTATATTATTGGTCTGGATAAAGGCATTAATACATTAGCTGGACACTTCTCTTGGAGTCACTGCCTTACTCCCACTGGCAACAATAGGCTAAACTATCTGCCTAATCATTTATCAGAGGCCTTAAAAGGCATACACTGCAAAACCAGCAAGCTCTTGCCAAAATACTCTAACAGAAGGAAATGTCACACTGAATTCCGCACTCCTTAAACTCCATGTCACTACAGGCTGCCTGGAGCACCAACCCACTGCTTTCAATAAAAATTGGAAAACTCTAAATTTGTATCAATATCTTGCTCAATTCAGGGAAAATAAACTCTTTTCTGTACTGACTGTGGTCGACTTCTGAAAATTATTCTAGACTCCATTAAACAAAAAGGTAGAAAGCCAGATATTGTCCCACGGTATTAAGAAATGGAAAAGTTTCATTTTCTCTGGTCCTACTCTTTTGACACTTTTCTAAGCTGAAAATTGTACAGATTCAGGTTTTCTCATATCTGAATGGTGTTAAGCATTTCATGGGTTGATGGGATTCTTTACTCACTTTTCAGAATACTGCATTTAAAAAATATATCTCCAAACAACTTTGTATAATTGCCTCTCTGCTTAGAAGTAAAAGATTGTATTGGGCAATGAGCTTTTCAAGTTGCAAAGGTCTCAAAAATATTGGGCAACCTTCCCTGAATCTTCCTCTGGGCTTAGGAAAAAGAATGGAACAAACCCGTGACTGTTCTAAGAACTGTCTGGAGAAGAAACTGCAAACGTGCAAAGCGTTCTACCTCTGGTTTGCCAGTTCTAAACAAGACTACATCAATAAAAGCAGGAATTATTATTGTTGCAAACTACTTAACTGGCTGAATTAATTGAGCCAGCAGCTTCCAGTCAGTAAGAACTCATACGGCAAAAACACTGAAAAAATCAGCAATGGTATTAAAAACAAGGTTGAGAAAGGTCAGTGAATGATGTCACCTTTGAATAGAGTCCTTCCAGACCAAGAGGTGTGTCACGCTAAAAGGAGAAAGAAGCTAGGACTCTGCTCAGTGAACTAGTTTCCAAGTTTAAGGGTGAAAACTTCTTTAATGCCCAAAGCTTGACTGTTAATGGAAGGACAAAGCCATAAATCCTCTATTTGGCCAACTCTCTTCCTTGTTGATTTCTGAGTGTGTGGCTTTCTGAAAATGAACAATAAGGTTGGCTTTTTTTTCTTCTTTTGTATTATTATTTTAAGATAGGCAGGCTCTGATCTCCCTTTAGAACGTGGCAGGCAGAGGAAGAGGTGCAAGTCATGGAGGAATGCAATACATTTGCGTCAGTCCCATTTGTTCACCCTGAGGCTTAGTTCAGCACTGACTGAATATGAAGCCATTTTCAACCTTGACTTTCTACTGTCAAGGCTTGCATTTATTAAACACTTATATCATTTTCAGAGTTGAACAGGAGTTCAAAATGTTCTGCAAAGTGCTACACAAAAGGTATTCAAATTACAAGGCCAGGGATTGTATTTTTCCCTCTTCCTATTTAGTTGCTTTTCTTTTATGTTTCATCATTCACAGAAGATATTCACAGGGAAAAAAAAGACCTGGGAGGCCAGGGACTGAACAGGGGAAGAGAGGGAGTTGAAAACAAGCACAAGAAGGAAGACAGAGCTGGTGGGAAAAAGAGAATGTTAGCTTAACTGGAAGTGGTCCACATTTTGACAGTTCATTTCTACTGAAAAAAAAATTACCGATAAAATACATATACACATAGACTTACACATATAAATGTGCATGTAAAAATTAAATGGCAATTAAAGCAAAGACAGAAAGATAATGATTTTACTTTACATCTCTGATAATTATTTCCTTATGCACTAAACACACTCAACCCAAGCACTGCACATGTGTGCACTTGTTGACAAAGTCCCAACTGTCAACAGAGAACAATACAGCCCCATGACCACAACCAAAATGGTTACACCAGCCAACAAAAACATAATTGTGTGCAACCACTGCCAAATCCCAAGCTGACATGCATCCTGTAGGGTTTCATTGAAGTCAGCGGGGCACCGTGGTATATTAAACGAGCTGGGCTGCAAGGGTGGTCCAAAGCTGTACTCTGATACGCAGTAACAGCAATGAGGTGCTGAGAGACACTGCTGCTTTTGGGTACAGCTGTATCATTCCTTTGCAGCTCCACGAGAAATCCTGGACTGTAACAGAAGAGACTCTCAAACATGCACAAGGATTGTCAGTTAGAGAGCAAAAGCTTTTGTGGACAATATAAATCACACAAAGCTAAATGTGATCCCTTCTCAGGTTCGTGATCAACTCTCACAGATGATGTTGACTGTAGTAGGCACTAAAAATTGCACAATACCATTTGATATTTTGATATGCAATATCAATTTTGATATTGCATCACAATCACCCATTTGCCACTTTCTATATGACTGTAGTATGCCACAAGTTAGGGCATTTTATGTTCTTTCACATTTTTAGAATCTTCTTCTGGGGATTAACCATGACTTCTCAAGGCATTTAGGATCAAGGCAAGCACAGCTTTAAAATATGTAGCTGATAATAATTACACATTTTTGGATACTACTTCAAGTAGAGGAAAAAAACACCCAGAAGTCTGTGAATAAACAGCTCAGCTAGTTCAAGGACTGCTGTTGAAAAATCAGAAAACAGCAGAATACAATTTAGAATAATAAACAGTTATGCAAAATTTTAATCCACTAGTTCTTTTCTGATTTAAAAGATGAAGTTTCACCTATAGTCTGGCTTTCTTTTACTATTGTACACAATGTGGAGCTTTTGGTGTTCAAGACATTCTCCTCCTTCTCTTTCTGTCTTGTTGCTGCCCCTACCATGATGGGGGCTTCAGCTTTTCTTTCTGCACGGTTATTGCTGAAACAGCTTGTAAACAATCATGCCCAGTTACAGGCCCTTCAGAAAGATGCTTGTCGAGGCTTTCCTTCACCCTGTATATTGATTCCAAGACCATATATTTCAAGATCCTAGTAGCATGACTTGGCCCAGCTACGCTGCAAAAATTAAAAATAGGTTTTTGCAATCCTGCAGTGCACACCACCATCTCTGTGAATACTTCTCCCCCTCTTCCCTTGCATCACGCCCCCGCATGCCAGCAGAGGAGATAATACTCATCACCTTGAGGAATCAGCAGCTGACCAGTCTTGCTGGAGCAAAAGCTATGCTAAACCTGTGTTACCTTGGATAGGATGTTGAAATGAATGCTTTGTGATAGGCAGTTTAATCATAAATATGATAAACTTGGTATTTATCAGGATAGAGTTTATCCTAAAACTACGACACCACAAAAAATATCTTCATCACTTCTTGGAATTGTTTTTGGAGGGAGAGAAAGAATAAGCAGACAGTGCTAAGAAACCTTTTGGCAAAGCTTCAAAAACATGCAGATAGAAAACTGGTCTAATCACTAAGCTAGAGAAATATAGACTGTATTCTTTGAAGTGCAAATATAGGCAGTTTCAAATTCTTTTAGCAACTCTTTAACAAATGTCTCATTTTTCCCCAGCACTTTACAGTTTGAAATCTGACCTCTTTCTAATGAGATTTCAAAAAACGTATTCCCTGTGCTTGAAGCACTCACATTCAGAGTACACAAAACCACTAATCAAGGAATATCTTTTTAAAGTATATTCAAAAGATATTTTAATTTTTGGTTGGTGGTAGCTATCAGGAAATTCTTGTTCAACTCCACAAATAGTATTAGCAGGAAAGCAATAGCTTAGAATTCAAAATGAACACAAATCAGACACTGCAATTATTTTGCAATTGAAACACCATCGACTTTTGCTGGCCCTTTGAAAAACAAATGTGCATAAAATCTAAAGCAACAATTATGCTCTGAAAAGAATGTAATTTTGTATTAAGCTGAAGGTGTTAGGAAAAGAAAATGTTCTGTTTGATGAGGAAACAAAAACATTTTTATGAGGTTAAACCATATTATTCACACAGTTGCAATTGGTAGATTTTTCACAAACAAGTCATAATTTGTACCCTTCACTTTAAAAGCAAAACAAAATTCCTTTTTTCTCCTCAAAAACTTACTGATTACCACAGCAGCTTCAAATTATATCCGTTGAAAATATCACAGCAAGGTCTGCTACATACAACTGATCTGTGGTGGCTAAAGTAGTATTTCCTGAAAAATCTTGAAAATCCAGATATACAAATGGTCTGTTGTAACAGGAACAGCTGATGGGTACTGAAGTTTATATACTCTGACCCCCCTTTCATCCTCTGTAACTCCTACTCTTTTCCTTACAGACAATATTAAAAATGAAATTAATAACCAAGGAGATTATGGTGATGTAAAATAAAGTGTAAGAAAATTGTATGGGCATGATTTCTCCTCAGCAGTTGCATTCCTGTGTAAACATCCAGCCATTGTTCCTACCTATCACTACATTTACCTCCTCCACATGAGTTTCAGATGTCACTGAGGCTGAAGGCAGAGTCTTTAACAAGTCTCTGCTTCCTGCCATTCTACACCTGTAAGAAGTGAATGACGTAATGATCCATTTCTGTAATATCGGAATCTCTCTCACTTGTTAATTTCAACTCTGAATTGCCATAATTTGTACTTGCTGGGAAGGACAGAGTGTTTTAAATCACCAATAATTTTGTAAAAGACAGTCTAAGCTTCAGGGAAGTTTTTATCTGCATTTTAAGTAAGACTTTCAGTAACTCAGTGCAAATAGATTTCCTTTGCATTTTTCCTGCTCTGCTGTCTTTATCTCTTCCAAGACTACACTTCTTGTAATGTAATTGCTGCTTTACAGATTCATTTTCAAAAAAGTGTCATAGAGACTGGAATTCTGAGATTTTCAACCTCTCTCTGCTAGGCTGTTAATTCCTTTGTGGTGTGCTTACTAGTCCTATAAACACAGAGTTCACTCTCATACCCACACTTGTCACCAGACACAAGAAAAAATAATTTCTTGATTATCGTACACTATAATCCTACATTGAGACTTGAATTTTCTTCAAGTTCCAGCCTTGAAAGTACCCAACTATCTTTGTTATAAACAAGAAATTAGTGTCATATTCTCCTTACAAGCAAAGCACCATGTGTTTAACCACACACACACGTGTTTTGCCTTCCTATATGCAAGACAGACACTCGCATTTTCATGTAGTCACACTCACCAAGGCTTTGAGCACACTACAAAGTAACGTGTCTCGGTAAGGGTAACACAACATCCCCTAGATGAACAGAGCAGCTGTGAGGCACTTCACAATAACTCACAGCAGCCCTGAAAATTAAGATCTCTTTTACTGAAGGGGCGAATGTTTCCCAGGACCCTGAGGTTATCCACCTGGATAGCAACTAGAGAAAAACTGGACAATTTAATGTCCCATGCACCTCCAGCAGTGAAGCACCACTCTACAGTATGACAGTATTTATGGCCAAGGAAGAACTGTATGATTCATTGGAGGTTTTTGTTTAGAGTAGAGAGGATAGGAAAAGGTCTCTTAAGTTGCACTGTAACATCAGTTTTGTTTTTCCAGATGTAAGTTGCACCAAAACTCACACATTTCCTTTTAAAATAAAAATAATGCATTGACTGTTAGGTTAAAAATGTGGCAAACTATTTTTAAAAACTTCCCTATTTTTAAAAATCATCCCGTAACTCTTAATTTACAGGACTTACAGAAGTTGTTCAATCAGAACGTGTTTCTTTTACAATTTCTGTGGTATTCTTTTTAAGACTCATAAAAGGGTTGAAAGTGGCCATCTGATTTTTTTTTAACAAGAATTAGTTATGTTTGGAAGCCCCTTTACCCCTTGAACTAAAACATATTCTGTAAGTAGTAGGACAGATGCACAGAAGGGATATTTGGATTTGATACAACATTCAAGTCAAAAATAATATCACTTAACTCAAAATGTTACACAAAGTGAATCCTAGAGAAAGGGTCAAAGAACTGTCCTGAGTTACAGCAGCTGAGAATTTGACCCAAGGATTAAAATGAGCTATGGGCTACTTTACTGATGCCAAGCACCTCTGGTTCCCAGAAGTCACTGGAAACTGTGGATGCTCAGAAGCAATATAAAGTAAACCACTGTCTATGGTTATTTTTCTGCAGGATGATTTGTATCATGAAATACTATACATTTCCTCAATGTGGCACCTTTCCAGCAGCTTTGTCTCTCAGTCTGCTCCTGATTTTATGCCTTTATACAAATACATGTTTCTCAATAGAAGCCAACATTTAAAAACAATAAAGGAATTCCCCTGCTTAAAAGAAAGAGAGAAAACTCACATGATTACACTTGGGAATGATGGGTTTCACATGACTCTGACAACTTACCATGCTGTTGACAACTTTGAGATCCTGCGCTGTGGCAAACTGAAAGAAATCCTCTGACTGCTGCTGACCTGTGCTTTTTGTTTCAGACCATGAACCTCATCTTCTACAAGGTTGTAGTCAATTCAGGCACTTTATCAGCATCCATCTATTACTGTCTCCCCAATGCCTCCTTTGTCTTATTACAATCTCTTCCCTCCTTTAAACTAATCTGATGAAATATTAGTCATACATACAGCTCCAAGCCCTGAACCACTTCATTTCCAACATGATTTCCCAAAAATCAGTAACAGTCTTTCTCTAACACAGTAACCAAAACAACATGTAATACTTGAATTCAGATGGGATTTGAGGTAACAATTAGCACCAGAAGGGTTTGTGTTCCAGATCTTCATTTCACAGTAATTCCTTCCAGTATGCACTTGGTTTTACCCTGTGCTGACTGCTTGGTTGGTTTTTTTTTAAATCAAATTACTTACTATTGTCCTAATGCTATATTTACTGGACTCTTTTTTCTAAACTTCACTCAAAACACATCACAAGGAAATAAGATAAAGGAGACAAATCCGTGATATCTAAAGAATTAGTCAAAACAGAAGAGGTCTTGTCTTCTTCAGACGGACAAAAGATTTTTGGGGCCCAGTTGACGCTCTTTCTTCCGTTCACAAACCAGTAGCATTCTTACTCTCACTGCCTATCGCTTGCCAGAATACATACACCTACCCCTCAGACTGCTTCTGAATTCCTGATCTCACCTCAAGGTTACCCCTCCTTCTCAAGTCTGCTGATACTTCAGAAGCATGATGGGGTATTAAACAGACATTATAGCAGTCTTACCTATTTTCTATAATAGGCAAGCTGAAGGTATATTTTAACAGTAAGTAAATAATAAAGCAGAGTTAAAATATTGCTTATGTCATATCTGTACCAATACATATTTAAAGAAACACTGAACTTAAGCAATGATTGACTTAATTTATGATTGGTACATAGTATAACTTGGGCCAAAAAATAAGGCCACCCAGGAGCAGCGGCTGGTGAGGCATGCAGTGGTCTTTCTTCCCAGCAGGAACACTTGACATAAACGTGTTAGTGCTCCACACACAGCATTTATTGTCAATCAAGTTACAGAGCTATTTAATGGTCTTTTTCCTTAACTTCAAAGAATTAAATGGGATAGGGCCAATTCGTCTCTGAAATCACCTCTCTCTCCGTACCACATCTGCTGTGCTCAAAGGGGGTCCTTTAGGCTGACAAAGCTCAGGTTTGAACTTGTCACACTCTAGGATGCTAAGATGTTTCCAATCATAGGTTAGTCATTATGGAACTTGCTTCAGAGATCAGACAGAGTGAACCTCCTTGCCATGACTTGGTTTACATTTGAGAAATTAAATAACTTAAAATCTCTCAAATATTGGTCGAAATATTGTGTCCACATACATAAAAATACTCTGAAGGGCCTAAAGAGGAACCTAGTAATCTCTTAGAACAAACTATGTTCCAGCAGATGTAACTGGAAGAAATGTGCCTCTTGACTGAGCAAGAGTTATCTTGAATAACTCATCTTCCTCTGCTGCAGTCAACATACTGCCCTTGACAAGAATCACAAACCAGAGGCTTTCAGGAGCAGAGACAGAGGCTGTGGGGCAAAAATCCAGAATGCTTTCAACTCAGAAAAATGTAGGTCTGGGGCAAAATTTCAGCACAGCTATGGAGTGACACACTCAACTGCTTATGCTTAAGATGGTCTAATGAAGGTGGTTGAATTACAAAGAGTGCAATTCAGTTTCTGATACAGACAAGTCCTTGACAGTTCCCCAAACAAAGATTTTTTTAAAGCTGTTGATACAGACAACTGTAATGAGACAACCTAGAGTGGAAGAAAAAGGAAGGTTCTGTATTCAGAGGAAAAACTGAAACATTATGTTATTACCGACAGTGCAGTAATGGATGCCAAAGACAAGAGAGCAGTCAGAAGGGAACAAGTTATCACTCTCAATACCCACCTCATTAGTAACTGAGAGAATTGACAGCGCAGAATCACAGTACTTCAGTGCATTGTTTTTCTGGCCAAGATCTTTATAGCACTGAGAAGAAAAAACATTTTGTTTCCAATCAGACCACTGTAGGAATACCAGAGTCTACAAATCATTATTTTTAAAAGAACTTGGTTACCTTTGCCAAATACACATAATTGCATTTGGAATATCCTGGACGCATTTCTTCTGCCTAAATAATAAAAAACAGGAAAGAAAATAGACTTAAAACTTGTGTGATGGGATTTATGTGGTCTGCATAACATTTTTAGCAATGCATTACACTTCCCCAAACACCAGACAGAATCATCCCTACTGTGTGTAATGCAATCTGTTTAGCAATTCAAAGAAAACATCAAGAAAACAAGAAAACGAAAACCTCAAACCCTAGACCAGGCAGAATAGATGCTAACACTGAACATATAAAAATATTCTGTACTTCTTGCTCTCCTCTCTCCCAAGTGCTTTGTAAAGACATCAGGTCATTCTGTACAAGATCTCTCAGACTCATTCACTTTTTTTTGAATGACGCTGCTCTCTCTAGATTATTAATAATTATTTCCTCGCCAAAGAAATTAGAAAGCAATCAACCATTCACACTTTGCATAACGAGTAATGAACTGTGTTAATCAACTTTACAATTATTTCTCTTCCACAGACCCGTATCTTCTAGTTCTGGACACACATTTCTTTTCACACTACCATCTTCTGAAAAGTTCAGGTTGTTAAAAAAGTTCAAGAATGTTTTCCTTTTAAAACACATGAAGGACATACAAGCTTGTAAGATCAGTAAAAATCTTACCAACTATCTACTAGCCAAGAAGCAATTTTAATCAACAAACAGCTTTTGAGAGAGAAAAATTACAGCAGTGAAATTTATAGTAGCTGTAATCCTTGGACCAAAACAATGCTGCTTTCACCACTACCAACTGTGTAGAATCAAACAATTGAAAAAGAAACCCAAACAGTTGTCTTTTAGACAGTAATTTAATTTTTGTTGCAGAAGATGACTTAAAACCACAGTCACTCTGCAGCCCACCACAAAATGCCCTGAAGCTAAAGTGAATGTTTCAAATTATTCCTACCACTTTTGGAATTTGACCTTAAATATAAAATCTCTTAAACTGAGAAGGTGGCAACGTATTATACCGTCCAAAATTCAGGAGACCATTCCATCTTTAAATAGACTGAGAATAGAGAAAACAAGCATTTCTGAAAATGACCAAAATATGCCTGTCCAATCCTTTGAGAAACTTTCCGAAAGGAATTGTAACGATGGAAGTTTATGCTTTGAATTCAGTCAAGTGAAAAACTTGTACACTTTACAGCTCCAGAAGTAGAACTGATTCATATACAAGACACTGAAAGATAGATTTATTTTATTCATGTGGTGTTTTCTCATAACTGTGTGTTCTAGTAGAACGCCCAGGAACACAGACCTGTATGACAGAGCCTTCTTTTCTGATTCGCCAGAAAGTAATTTCACCTCCACAAATAAACTCAACAAAAAAAGCTTCAGATCAGAAAAAGAGAAGCATTGCAATGTCTAAGTTTTCCTTGCCAATGTTAACCCTCCGACAGAAATGGGTAAATCAGCAATTATCACTATGATTAATTTGTTTCAATGGCATATATAACTAATCTATATCCATCTCCATCTCACATTACATTCAGTAACTATTAACCATGTCAAGTAATTGAAGAATTCTTAAAACAAAAGAAAGAAAAGAAAGGTGTTAGCCAGTCATCTCCAAACTCATTTTCAAACAGAAGAGAAAAAATATTTTATTAGAGAGTTCAGTGGTGTTCAGAAGAGCCCTGGATTTATAGCTACTGAACAAAATCTGTTCAACAGACTTCTTGACAAGAGCCACCTACAGCAGCTGGTAAACAGCCACATAGGAAAAATGTTGGCTACTAGTTACCTTAAGGAAATTCTGCAGTGCTTCTTCTACTGTTGAAGTTGGTGGAGTCCCAAAGAGAGCAGTAGCTACCTTCTTCTCAATCCAAGACAACTGAGCTACCTGTAATAAAAAAATTAAATTAAAAAGTCAGATGTCTTCAGGGCTGCCTCTCAGTTTTACAGTAAATACTGTCTTGTGCACTGTACTACTTACACAACATATTTTGCAAAAGAACCTGTAAAGGAATGCTTTATACTGCTAACTTGCCAGCTAAAAGCAGTCTTTTGGATTTTGGATTCTGTTAACAGGAAAATGTACATATATGACAAAACACCAAGATCCTTCATACAAGATTATTCCCATGTAAAAAGCTTAAACTGTATTTTAGGTTTCATAAGACTTTGCCTGTTTTTAAAACTGAAGGCTAGAAATAGTGCCTGAAACTTGTTAAAGTTTTCAAGAGACAGCTTAGCATGATAGTCTATGTACTTGACGACTTTTCAACATTATGAAAAGCTGTTGCTACAGTAAAAATGTAAGTGCTTTTGGTGCTGGTATAACAAGTTCATTTATTACACACAAGCTGGTGACAGCCACTGTTAAAAGACAGGCTTCGTTTTTAACTCTTCAAATATGACAAATAACACCCGCCTAAGACCTCTTCTCCTTTCAGCAAGATGGGCTACTGAGAAAGGACTTCAGGGAGCTGTCATATTTCCACACAACACACATGACTTCTTCCCTTACATATACACCTGACAGAAACTGCTCAGGTTACTGCCATAAGGTACTTGGCTCCATCAGCCCAACCTGGCGAAACACACTTCACATCTGTAACAAAGGGTTGAGTTGCTAGAAAATGCAATGTGAGAGCAGAGCCTGCTTAAATGGAGAAGTGAAGCCATTTTCCTTTGGACACTTACCACATCTGTAAAAAAAAAAAAAATCAGGACTTTTTTCCTTTCCATAAGTATTTGAACCACTGCACTGATGGCTCCTGTCACAGAGTACAACTGAGTTGAAAAAAGGGAAAAAAATAAGGTTCTGTATTTTCTGGCCTGATCTGTGCAGAGGCAACACAGAAAAGGGATACACACAGGAAAAGAAAGAGAGCCCTCATCAGAGACCTGGACATGAAATATGAGTCACATATGGATATCTCTTTTCAGAAAGAGCTGCAACTCAAATAACAGAGTTCAGCCTTGAAGTCAAATTGGTCCTACTGCTGTAAAAATTAAAAAGGTTTGGGATAGTTTTAGATTATTCCCACCTCATTCCCTAGCTTCCCAACACCTGCAGGGCTGTTGCTGCTCCCCCTACCTTGTCCACCTAAATCCAGCAATTATGCAGTAGATGTCAGTTAATAATTGTAAAATACAAGAATCCACCCACACAGAATTATCCACAGCCATCAACTAGAATGCTTCTCTTTTGAACAGACACCAATCTTTACGTATTTCTTGTTGCAAACTGCCCTAAAAACACCATTGCAAGAAATACAGGTCAGCATGCAACAGAAAAATTCATAGGACTGTGTTTTCTCATCTGGTCAAGATGTCTCTAGCTGCGTAAGAGCAACATTGCTTGGAGACAGAAGGCATCCGGGACAAGTCTGGCTGGTTGTTCGGCAGGGACCAATGCCTTAATTGTTAAATGCTGTCAGTGAACATCTCACACAAAACCACTAAAAATTATAATCCAGGGAGAAACAACATTAAGACAATAAAGCTTCTGTTTTCATTTTCTCTCACATATCCCCACCCTTGAAGCTTCTTCTAAGGAAATAAAGTATTTTTTACAAAAGCTCTCCAGCAATCCTGGAGTACTTACTGAAGCAACAAGGTATTTACAACTGCAGTGCTTTTACACTGTGTTACAAACTCCAGCATACTGCTTAAAACTTCAAATTGTATCTATGTATACAATTTCTTTCTACATTTCATTTCCCTTGCTGTTTTATAGTTTCTAGCACATATTCTGCAAGAGCCATTAAAAGCATTTCTGCAAAAGTACTGTTTTCTTCACGCTAATCTCCTGACGCAGGAGCGTTCTTTCTTCTTTTGGAAGAGGAAGGGGTCTCTGTATTTCTAGGTCCATCACATCAACATAGAGGTAGCTTACCGAGTGAGGAAGAGAGGAGAAAAAAAATAAAGGGAATGTATAAGCTTACACTGTTCTCTGCAAGACCACACAACACCCTGGTGATACACGTACACTGCACAGATACAATTACCGTACTCATGTCTGCTGTTATGCAACAGTGAGGAAACAAAATTGCAGTTTTTCCATGTGGAGTTATAATTAACTATTGAAAACACAAGTTCTTCCTGGCAGTTGTTTTATTTTCTTATGAGATTTAATCAGAACTGATTTACTGAGGTTTTAGTCTTTATTTTGTCTGGCGTGGGTGCTGCTTTGCCCTATTCAAACTTTTAAAAAGCCCCAAACATACATGCACTTGGCCATTTTTATTTTACAAATCTCACCAAGATAAAATGACGTTTAGAAGTGAAATGCATGTAAGCACATTTCACAGAAAACCACTTGCACTGAAAGGAGGTTGTAGGGAGGTGGAGGTCGGTCTCTTCTCCCAGGCAACAAGTGATGGGACCAGAGGAAAGGGCCTCAAGTTGAACCAGGGGAGATTTAGATTGGATATTAGGAAAATCTCTTCACTGAAAAAATGGTCAGGGATTGAAACAGGCTGCTCAGGGAAGTGGTAAATGGCTATCCCTGGAAGTGTCCAAAAGATGTGTGGATGTGGCTCTTGAGGACATGGTTTAATGGTGAATACGGCGGTGTTTGATTAACGGTTGGACTCAACAATCTTAGAGGTCTTTTCCAACCTTCATGATTCTATGATTCCGTGACAACACTGCGTTTTCTTTTGTTCTGTGCACTCTCTCCACCATTACACCTTGTGACTATTTCAGAGAGAGTCTGAGAGTCCTCTCATGTTTTGAGCAGTCAGACTGATATGCTGTGGGCTTGATGAATTCACTGCAGCTAACTCTAGCCATCCCTAAATGAAGTGCCTAGTTTATGCAAGTTGTCCAGCTTCCTTGCATGGTCAATAGAGAGGCAATTCCATTAGGCAATTCCTATTCACCTACATTAGCTTGGGATGAACGCTCCTCTCTTTCTCTTCTTTCTTTCCTTCAACTACAAAAGGAGCACAAACAATTATACTTTTGGGTTGCTGAAGACAGGTGAGGTGAATCCCATCAGAACAGCTTAACTGTGCCCCACCTGACTCTGTCTGCACCCTGCTATACTGAGGTGGGACAAATGGAAAAGAACCTGTTTTATGCAATACACAGAATTGTGTCCCAGAGCAATAATGATGAACAGGAAATTATACCCTTCCCCTCAACGCACATAAGCACAGTCTTTAATTTGAAATAACTTCATTAGAGTAAATCTTACGCCACCTTCAGTGAAATGGAAACATAATTCCTACAACACCAACTAACTTTATTAAGCATTCTCTGTGCATGAGCAAGCACAGGGAACAGAAAGTCCGGCTGGCATGCTCTAGTGCAGCGCAAATTTGACTTCTACAGTAAAGGTTACTCCAATAGTGCAAAGTATATCTGGAGGTCCATACAAAATCAAGTATAAAGAGAGTGTAACTGTCATCAACTACAGTGGAACCATGATTTCACTTTAATGCGTGTTCCAAAAGTGGTAAAGGACAGCAGAAAGTAATAAGAAAAACAGCTACTGCAGCAAGTAATAGCTACAACAACAACAAAATTAAAGGATGAAGATTGCCTTTGCCCTACAGATGATTTCCAAATGTTAAGTGAGTTTTGGTTTTTTGGTCTCCTAAACCCTGATTTCAATCCTGCCAGCAGCCTGAAAATTCACAGGAGCACTGCAAGGAACTCTGTGTGTCCACAGAGTATCAGGTTTTGATGTAGTAGGTCACTCAAAGAACACTGCTACCCAGCTGCCATACAAAGAGTTAGTCCCACTTACTCAAGAGTGAGAAAAAAGGGCCTGAGGGACCATCAGCCAACTCCTGAACTTCCTTAGGACTGGAGAGGAGTGGGTCACAATGACAGCCTGGCCTCTGCCAATGAGAGGAGGCCACTCTTCAGTATCCCAAAGCAAACAGAGATGGTTGTCTCAACCGACCTCTCCTACAGATCTGTCAAAGAACAAGCTGTCACCCACTTATTCTACCTAAATCTCCATTAGTACTAGAGATGGAAGAAAGGCACCCACAGAGTTAAACTGCAGCTGAACATAAAAGTCATATTTAGCACTCTCCTATCAGGCCTTTTGTTCCTCTGAAGACCAAGGCAGAAAACATGGTTCTCCCCTAAATACTGGGAAAATGGATTTCCTAACATCCCTTTCTCTTCCTTAGCCTAAGATCATCAAAAATCATATATATATATGAGCAGTACTGAAACACTAGCTGGGGTTGTGTCTTCTGTTTTTTATGAGATGCAAACCCTGTCCATTGACAGTTATTTCCAAATTCAGGATGTTGGTACTGAGGAAAGTAACCCCCTTGGATTAAAAAGTCATCCAGGACTGACTTTCAGCCCTATAGGATATCCTCCTCCAATGCTTCCTTGCTAATAGCTCACTGAAGACATATTACACAATTGTCTTCCATAAGGGAAAATCACCCCACTGATCCAGCTTCAGTAAAATATTAATGACACCTAATTAAATATCCCTAGAGAGTTTCTTTTTCATTACAATATATTAATTTAAAATTGTATTAAATAATTTCGCAATGTTTTGACTTCTGGAATAGATTAAGTAACAGGACACCAGTTTTAAAATACTGGCTTCCAACACAAATATTCTCTTTCTTGCCAGCTGAGGAACCAGGACGGTCTGCACAGGCATTTAAGTATTTATCCAACTTGAACTGGGCTTTTCACTTTCCAGTAAGGGAAGCAGACTTACAGAGCATACAAAGGAACTGGATCTATTTGTTCCCTGCTGTAAACCAAACAGATACAGGGATACACCAGACAATCAAATACAAATCCAATACAATATGTAACCTGCAAAAAGAAAATCCCACGAGATCTCATTTTTGACACCCTACTAGCATTTACGAGATACTCTGATCCAGTTTCACAAGTACATGATAACTGTTCTGTGCCTGTCCTGTAATGGCAAATAGACATGAGTCTTAACTACATAGCACTCAGTTCTATAAGCTATTTGAAACATTAAAACATTAAAAAAATACCCCACATACACAGTTAAAAGGTCTATTAGATAATTGTGCCCAAAAGTCTAAGGAAATAAAACTAACTCCTATATGCATCATGTACCACAGATCCATTTACTTCTTGTATACATAGCAGGTCTCACAGGCAGAATTTTACCCATCATGACATCTATGACATGTGTGAAAAGTGAAAATCTTGCCTATCTGATTGTGATACCAAATGTAATTTTCTAACACTGCTGAGATGATTCTACGATCTTTCTCTTTTGTATAGCTCTATTGACTTTATAATGGTAAGAGAAACAAGAAACAGTAAAAATCGACTTTTAGACAAGGTGGTGCACAACTGTCACTGGCTCTGCATCACAGACAGACCCCAGCTGCTGTGAGGGCAGTGAAAATCCAGCTCATCTTTTCTACTGGAAGGTGCTACAGCACTGCATCAGCTTCATTTCTGGCCTAGCAAGAATAACTGATGAGTAAGAAACTTGGCAGTGCTGAACCACTGCTTTTTGCAAAGTACTATGTTACACTCAGGAAGGTGAGAAATGGCAGTCAGAGCTAAATTCTGGCAAAATTCCACAAATCAAATAGTTTTTACCTGTACAGTGTGCAGTCCCTGGATATAGATTTCAGCCTTCAATAAATCTTCTCCATTTCCCTCCACTATACTTTTCACCTAAAAGTCTTTTCAACCAGTTTTCATTTGTGAAAATGAACTGTAACCCTGAATTACAACACCTGAAGCATCCCCTTTTACAGTCCCTTATGCAATTCCTCATTTTTTGAGTTTGTCATCCCCAAAAAAGTGCTAGGTGATAGTAATATGATCCCCCAACATTAAATAAAGAGTGAATGGGAAATGTCTGACTGTATTAGGAAGACTTAAATACATTTTACAGAAGTGTTAACAAAGCCTATAAAGTATCAAACATTACTTATCTTTTTTAACTACACTGCCTCAGTAAAAGAATATGTGATGAAAATTAAGACAAAAATACCTTTGGAAGCAACACTTGAGAAAGAACAAATATTGGGCCAAACCTAACCTACCTGAAGTCAGGTAGGCTAAATGTAAAAACTAACCTTCCTGCCTCAGTCATCCCTTTTTCTTCTTTAATTCTCTCACACTGGACAACACAACCTTCCCAGCCTCAACCACAGTGAGACTGAACATTAAAAACAGAGGGTCTAAGAGGAGCATTTATCACTCCAACTACAGGTACCTGTATAGAGGAGTGCTGAATCAAATTTTTCAAACGCTCTATCATAATCTATATCTGACAAAGTATTTGGAACCAATGCCACAGCCAACAGTCTTCTTCTGGGAAAATTACCACAGCATGAAACACCACAGTCTGCAGAATAGGACCAAGGAATTTGGCACATTTTCCACAAGCTCCTATGACTACCTATAACACAAGCACGGCCAAAACCTCTAATAGTGGATCAGCACAGAAACCTACTCATATAGTCTGGTAAAACTAATGAGAATATCACCAGCCTCACTGGGCCAGGATTAAGATTCAGCTTCTATAGTAGCGCCTCAAAGCTAATGTTTTCAAATGGCCTTGTTCTGCCACTGCAAGTGTGCAAAGACAGTAAGATTTTAAGAGCTGACAGCCCCAGAAGTTAAAACAAAATGTTATTCAGTCCTATATTTGCATTTATCTGTATTACAAAAATCTGTTCTCTGTGTTTCAGGTTATTATTTTGTAATGGCAGTCACAGAAGACAAGAATTTTAAAAAATAAGAAAAAGAGAAATCTGAAATAAATCCTTAAATATTTTAGTGGTTATATCTGTTTAGGCAGATTTTTTCACTTAATGAAATGCAGGTCAGGTCATTACCTAAAGCAAATGGTAATCTGTGGTTTTAATGTTTAGGAAGGAAGCCCTGCATAGATGTTGCAAGTGTGGAATATGAATTTGTAATGATACAGTACAACAAACCGCACCTATTACTCAGTCAGGAAGTGGTGATTATCATGAAAATGAAACAGGAGTAACAAAATGTGCAATGAGAACAAAGTGAAGTAAACTGAGATTATATGTCTCCAAAAAGCAGCAGCTCGCATGAGAAGTAAGCCATGAGAAACATCTGGGAGTGTTTGACATAAATGGAAGCTGCAGTTCAGATGCTGGACACAGCATAGTACAAAAGTGCTAAACAATCACTGGTAAGACAGATGCTCCTGAGAGGCAAGACAGCAAGCATACTATAGTACTGTGTTCATCCACTTATTTTTGCAAAATAATGTTGATATTCGAGAATACAGTGTGACAAAAAGAAAAATGCCAAGTTCTTTGAAAAAGTTGGTGTCATCCCTTATTCAAATCAAAGGAGGAGAAACATAGTTGCTGAAAGCTCTTTTAAAGTTAAATATACAATCTGAAAAAAAACTGCTGAAAGATTACTTTGCATTAAGTCCTGTTGCAGATAAAGACAAAGTCTGCAGTGTATCACAGCAACTCCTTTTTGATGGTTTGCAGGCACTTTGTATTGACTAGCATTGGAAGCATCCGTAAGAAAAAAGGCAGGGCTGGCATTCACTGTGCTTAACAGTTATTATTCTGAGAAGTCTCATAGTTTTTTAGAAAAATTATGCTTGTGCTTTAGTATGAGAATTGTCTTATTCTTTAGGCTACATCTTTGAGGGATAAGTTGACTATCCTTACTGCTTCATCTCTGGTGCTGTGAGGAATCTTTGGTCAGAAGCTAAACTTGTTAACCAATTATTTTTCTTTTATGGATACTTATCAGTATGTAATCTATTATAATCTAATATAATCTTTATAATATATAAATAAAAATATATAACTAAAATAATCTTTAAAATCACGTGTTGTACCGGCATGACACAAATTACATCTCTTGCAAAACTCTTTGGTGAATTATGGATTTTTATGCCTGGATCTTTGTTGTGACATTCTCTTGGAATTTAAAAAGCCAATATGGTAGCCTTGCTGCCACAGACAATCCTACAGCATGTAAGCACCTTTCACTTAAATTATGGATAGGGACTACAGCTACCAAAAGGCTATGTTAGCAGCCCAAGGTTACCCAGAAACTTTGTGGCAGAACAAAGAACTGAAATCAAGAGATTGCCCTTCCTCCCTTCCAAATCAGTTACTTCTCATTCATTCATTCAGGTAAAAAACTTGAACAACAACAGCGAGGAACATATAAGCACAGCTTACCTACCAATAACACAGGATAAGTGCTGCTAGCAGCACACTTCTGGTAGCTGATTCAGGAAATGTAAATGTCTGCTTCATTTAGCTCAAAACACCTACTTAAACAAACACCTACTTTGTCTTAAGTCCCAATATTTAATCACAAATGCATTATCATTTTTCAGTATACTCAGTTCATACATTAGATAAATAAAGCACAACTTACTGAATAGCACCATCTTCCATTGAGGTAATATAAAAAGGGATCTTGAGGCTTAAGTTCAATTGCCTTGTCTAGGTGCTCCTATTGGAAAGAAAATTAGTATCATTTTAGATGTTTGTTTGACAAATGTGTTTACTTTCTAAATAGTTTGCTGCAAGCCAGAAACAAATTCAGTAATTCTTTTCTTTTCTAACAACCTAAAAATATATTAACTAGCAAACCCCTTCCTCACGGAGGGAAACCACAAACAAAATTGTTTAGCAAAGTTGCACACAATGCAACAAGGAATGCCATATTTAGAACATGACTAAGCAACTCTAAAGCTCAATCAAATAACTCAAGAACTTTTGTCTTAAGAAAAACAACAACTTCAATTAAATTAACTTCATTTACACTTAGTATTAGAAAACTCACAGATCAAATAAGTGAGGAAGCAATTATTCTCTTTGATAGATCTTGTATGTCAGCAGCCATAACTGAAGCATAGTCTCTTCCACCTTGGAATGTGACTGCTCCAATGAAATGGTATTTGACACAACCAATTGTTACTATAATGTGAAATTCAAAAAATGAAATGGTTCTGTTTATAGTGAAACTATAAAACCTAGGAAGTATCTAATGAGGTCCTTCTTCCAAAACCATTTTTATTACAGGTCATGAGTATCTTTATTCCTCTCTTTAATTTACTAAAGAAAGCTCTTATCGCTCAACCGAAGTTTGAAGAAAAAATAAGTATGTTATTTCACCCCTACCATTTGCCTCTCAAAATAAATTTCACTCAAACCTTTCTTTTTTATCCCCCAGATATCTGTCTTGCTAATTCAGCCAGTCACAAAAATACTTGAGTTACACAGACCTAAGAGATTGCTATGCTATCATTTTGTCCACAAACTATTCAGAGAGGAGCTACGTTTTCATACTACTATTTTCCCAAATCCTTAACATTTCCAAACAATTCAACAGATTTCAGTATCTACTAGTGAGGAGGAAAATCTCCCTGAAAAGGCTACTGCTAACATCACGAACTCTTAAAACTCCATCCTTACACAGCTGCAGCACTTGCGTTATTTGTCATTATCCCTTCGTTCCCAGCTTGTCCCAGTGCTTGGGGTTTAGCTCCCTTGGCACAGCTCAGATGTAATTTTTGCTCTCTCACAGGAAAGCTCTGCCACACTCCAAGTCCTAACACGGACATGATGCGACAGGAACCCAGCCCAGGCATTCCCCAGGCATTGGAACATGTCTGCTGCCTCTCACTGACACCCAGAAAAGGGGACACCAGCTTGGAAGGCAAGGGATGGATGGAAAGTGTCTACGCAATGCTGAGGACAAGGAGGGGGAGAGTAGCACATGTAACACAAATAACTAAATCTAAAAAACACAATTACCTTTGAAAGGACAGTGTTAAAACAAATATTACTTAAGGGTGGCATGAAGGATGATTGCAGAGCTGTGTTAGTTGATCGCTTACGATTTCATATGTTTTGATTTTCTAAACAGAATTGTTATTCCCTTTTTCTCCCCCCTTTGACTATAAAATAAACCAGAAATCTTAATGCTGTTCCCGAATTCCTACCTCAGTTCTTATATTGTGTAAGCATATAATCTATTTGCATACATAAAAATAACTTTTTCACTTTAACTTCAGCACCAAAATAGACCTGTGAGGCTGAATTACTCTGTGTTGGAAAAGTCTGTCTTTGACACTATATAAGGAAATAATTTGAAGGAATAGCTTTAGAAAAAAACAAGCCCAAATCCTACAAAAACATACCTTAAAGAGATAACCATTCCTGATTTTGTTTTGTACACTTTCAAACTGAGACATATAGCCACACATAATTGCAAACCTGAGAGGGGAAAAGAAAAACACACACACATACTTTTTGTGATTTAAATAAACCTTTGAATTAAATTACAAAATACTTAAATACCTAATTCACAGATTAACACCTGGGGTTGTTTTCCATCTCTATGTCTGGATGGAAGTTTGGTATAAGCTATACATATTCAGGAGCAGACGAAAACACAAATCAAAACAAAATAATAACAGAAACAAGAAGAAGTTTAAATGACACTATCTGGGCTATCAGTGAAGCAAAAAAACAGGGATTTCTCCTCTCAAAAATCTGTAGCATTTAGTTCAGAGTACGACACTTCCAGACCAGGTCTACCATTGTCAGCAGTTTGACACACTGTGCTCTGCACTGCACTGCACTGGGAACATGAGCACCATCAGCTGCAGAACATCACCTGGGAAGGCAAATACTGGGGGATTGCTCAGTAGGAAGCTGTACACACAAAATGATCACAGTTGTCTTCTACCCTTTTCAGGCACGTCAGTGCATTTCTGCTTATCTGGTATTCTTCTAATAACTTGAAAATTATCTAAAAACGTACACACACATGTTCTGCTCTAACAGGATCACTACTGCTATTACTAGATCATTATTATTTCCATTATTACTACTATGATTATCATAAATTTGGGAAACTGACTGATAAAAGCAATGTGAGATAATTTCTATAAAATATTTGTATTTTTAAGCAGGTATAACTGAAAATATTTTTGGAGGTCCCTACTATAAAGATTCAGATCTCCTAAGCAACACTACTGTTTTACTGACACTCCACCTAAATTTCCATTGCTTTCTTCCTATTACTTTAACAAGTATAGAACCTCTATGCATAAGGAATCTCTTGCACAGACATCAATTGTACTTTCCTCGGACCTATCTTCATTGCTATTAAGACAACTTTGTATTTCTGTACAAAACTAACAGAACCATCAAAGAAATAGTTAAGCAGTCAAAACTCACGTACATTATTTTTCTATTTTTTCAGAATTTTGCTTTTTTACTAAATATTTTACAATGCAATACCAAATCAAAGGAAAAAATAATCTTAGAAGGGGGAAAGCTGAAGTCCAGAGGAAAACATGAGTTATGCAAGAAGCTTATCGAGTTAATTATGGTAACAGAACCACAATCTGTATGGCACACACAGTTTTTAAGCATTACTAAACATCAGCTTTCTTGAACTTCTCTACATAAACTTTCCTGTTGATACTAGGATGTTAAAATGGAGATCTAGATTTTCGAATGGCATCCACATCCCTATACCCACATTCCTATACCTATAATTATTCAAGCACCAATGAATCCTCATTAAAATGTCAACTAAAGAAATTATTTTATTGCTTACAGTTGTACCTAATGGTTTTAAGTTAGAAATGCTACAGGTCATTGCATTTTTTGGTCAGTAAGTGTTCCCAGGTAAAGAACGGAGTCAGCATAACAACAACAGTTGAATTTGTACGAGCTCCAGACAGACTGTCAAACACTGTTGGGCAGGATGCATGCTGTGACCAATGTGCACTGGACAAAATCCAGCTCATGGCAGCTCTACTGCTGATAGAGCTGCAGCGGAAGCACATTTCATATGGGAACGAGCTGCAATTGAGGGGAAAAAAGCAAGGGGTGAGGGTCAGGAAAGTTCAGGTATTTAGAGAGAGGGGGAAGGTACTGAAAACGTTATTAGGTTTAAGTAACTCAGGCAACATTGCCCCTATTCCCTTCACTCATTAAGTGCTAATCAGATAAACTCAGCATACCATAGCTAAACGGATTGCTGCTACAAAAGAAAACAATGAAAAGCGAACAAGCTAATCCAGCATCTTGCAGTATTTCCCTGTCTGTGCGTGACAAGAAAGAGGGCCTTAGTTTAAACTAGTTCAAAGAAAAATTTCTACTTACAGTTAAAACCTCTGGGGAGGGAAATCCCAATAAAGTTTTCAGTGTATTAAAAGTAAGCTAAGCTACTAACTTTTAAATATGCATTACTTTTTCAAGGAAAATTAAAAATGTATTTAACATATTTGTCTTTTTTTTAAATTTATTTTATACTTTTGAACTGGGCTAGGCAGCCAATTGATATAAAATAATTTTTTAATTTTTGGCATTTTAATTTAAAAAAAAATACAGCAACCCAAAGCAAAGACAACAAAAAAGTGCCTTTTGTTTCCAGAAGATAATTTTTAGGCATTTTAAATATTCTTCAAAGAGTTTAAAACACAAAGCAAACTTTATTTTCAGTGATGTAAAGACTAATGTTAATCATAGACTGGTTTGGGTTGGAAGGCACCCTAAAGATCATCTAATTCCAACCCCCTGCCTGGGGCAGGGACACCTTCCACTAGGTCAGGTTGCTCAAAGCCCCATCCGACCTGGCCTTGAACAACTCCGGGGATGTGGCAGCCACAGCTTCGCTGAGCAACCTGCTCCAATGCCTCACCGCTCTCATAGGGGAGAAAATGATCAGAAAAAAACGAGGCAGGAGGTAATTAGAAACGCTTCCATCTGTTCCTTATTCTTTGCCGCACGCCGGCCCCAGCCCTGCCACTCACTGGTCACCTGCCCCACCTCGTGGTGGCAGGGGGGAATACTAAAAAGTTTATCGCAAAATAACGCGCAAATACCGTTAGAAATGGGTAAAACACACACGCATTTTGGTAGAGCAAGTGATAGTGGCTCTGCTCGCTACCATTGCCTGCCTTACAGCCTTTGAACATCAGGGTTAAAATACTGCTTACAGTGCCTTTACAGAGAAAATGAAAAAATCATACCAGTCAAGAGCTGCAAGGAATGACCTAACTACTGAGCTGATGCTACTCCTGGGTAACATAAAAAAAAAACACCCCAGACAAGTTCATCTGAATAAACACAATTATCATTACCCCATTAAGACAGACACAGTACTTGGGTTGGCGTAAAAAACATATTATTCCCAGATGGAAGAAAAGTTACTGAACGTGGTGTAGAAGCATACAGGTCAACCATCCACAATTAACACTCCTTTAATAAGCACAAACACAACAAAGAAACTCAGTAATAAGTCAGTGTAATGTCCTTTTGTTAAAAACAAATGGAAACTCTCACTTGCAAGAAACTCTGGTTGACAGAGAAGGATACCAAGTGCCTACATGACCCTCAAGTAGAGGGGTCCAGATTAAAGTGACTTAACATTTTCCCTTCTGGTGCTCCAGAATTTCTGTATGTATTCAGAAAAGGTAAAACTGTAAGGGGAATACCTTATCTGTTGCAAGAGGAAGAGCAGCAGGTTGATACAATACATTTTATCAACCCAATTTGAATCTTAATATCAAAAACGCTACCAACCCTTAAAACTCTGGTGATTACAGCTTATTCCATATGAGAGGGATTTACAGAAAAGATTTTGAAGTCTCAAATCCACAATAAGCCACACTAGGGCACATAAATACAGCAAGTTTTACCTTTTCCCTGATAAATCTTTCAGGGCCAAACTCAGAAATTACATGTACCTTCCCAAGCATGTTCCTCACTCTTCTATACACCCTTTCATATATCTCAAATCTAAAAAACCCTCTTACGCCACACAGGCTTTGGAAATGTGTGGGTATAGGGATGTGGATGCCATTTGGAAATCTAGATCTCCATTTTAACATCCTAGTATCAACAGCAAAGTTTTTCTTAATTGTAAATGGCAAGACTTTGCCAATCGGAGGAGAGTTTGTGATATTTACCAATACCGATGAGTACAATCTGTCTGTTCCATAGCTGGTTTTCACTCCCTCCTTTTCACCCGAGCAACATTTAACATGCAAGGTAGTATGGGCAAAGGCTAATGTGTGGGTAGCACATGAGAGATCCAGTGAAAAGAAAGGTCCTTTTCATCCCAGTTCTAAATGTGTTCTTAAGCCCCCCCACCTCTGCACGGCTCAGTCCTGTGCATGCCATCACTTCTTAGCCATCCACTCCCTCACTCACTCACCAGTTTCACACACTTACATATTCTGACAGTCTCTGCAAAGCAGTCAGACTTCTTTTTAACGTGATTTCAATGAGATATTTCAATTTCTATGTAGGGACATTTTACAACTTAAGTTACTGATTACGACTCTGCTGAATAACCCTTTCTGAGATCAGAGTTTTGCATATTTTAAATTGTACCCCTTTCCTGCCAAGATACTTAATCTACAAAATTGCATCTGAGTTTCCATGGAGAGGTAGAGAGGAAAGACATGAGCATCCTCATTAGGGTGTGAGTATGGAAGCAGTGGCTGAGAACTTGTAAGACTGACAACACACAAAGTAAGAAGTGCCAAGGTGCAAAGCGTTCATGTGGGTTTTTTTCATGGGGATTTTTCCCTTTCCTTTCCCTCCCTTTCATTTCCTTTTCCTTTCTTCTCCCTTTCCTTTCCCTTTCATTTCCTTTTCCTTTCTTCTCCCCTTCCTTTCCCTTTCCTTCCCTTTCATTTCCTTTTCCTTTCTTCTCCCCTTCCCTTCCCTTTCCCTCCCTTTCATTTCCTTTTCCTTTCTTCTCCCCTTCCTTTCCCTTTCCCTCCCTTTCATTTCCTTTTCCTTTCTTCTCCCCTTCCCTTCCCTTTCCCTCCCTTTCATTTCCTTTTCCTTTCTTCTCCCTTTCCCTTCCCTTTCATTTCCTTTTCCTTTCTTCTCCCCTTCCTTTCCCTTTCTTTTCCCCTTCTTCCCTTTCCTTTCTTTCTTCCCCTTCCTTTCCTTTCCTTCTTCCCTTCCTTTTCCCTTTCTTCTCCCCTTCCTTTCCCTTTCTTTTCCCCTTCCTTTCCCTTTCTTCTCCCCTTCCTTTCCCTTTCTTTTCCCCTTCCTTTCCCTTTCTTCTCCCCTTCCTTTCCCTTTCTTTTCCCCTTCCTTTCCCTTTCTTCTCCCCTTCCTTTCCCTTTCTTTTCCCCTTCCTTTCCCTTTCTTTTCCCCTTCCTTTCCCTTTCTTTTCCCCTTCCTTTCCCTTTCTTTTCCCCTTTCCTTCCTTTCTTCTCCCCTTCCTTTCCCTTTCT